TTACGACTAGCTTTACTGTCACACAAGTATTTGCTTGTGAAAGTTACATTGAAAGAAAAATCCCTTATACATATACCGGGAAGCAATCTCTATGTAGTGATAACTAGATTTCTTTGGAGGAAATTCTTAGTAGAAGTAATTCGTTGTTTGATGTAATATATTGTATTATTTGAATGTATATTACATCTGTCATTTCTTTTATTTACGGAGTTGTCATTACATTGATATTCTTAAATTAATTGCTAGCATGATTATTTATTAGCAGTTCGAAGAAAGCGCTCTATTATACATGCACACATTGTTACAGGGCTAATTACGACTAGTTACGTAGTTTCAGCAGTTACGTACAAACATATTATCGAATAATACGTAATATTTCGAAAGTGTAATAGTTATCGAGTGGCGTTATGCGAACCTGAAACCAAACGTGGAAAATTCACGCTCGGTCGAGCGGCGCGCGCGCACTCGCCGCACCGTGGACATACTACAGGCGTATGCTTACTTTGCGGCGCTTTTTTATTGTTTGCTCGGATACAAAATATGTGTCGTTATTCTACATGTGTATAATTAATGTTATACGTTTACTGCACACCCATATTTACCACGTGGTGAACATGGCTCTCTGACTTTATCTTTAATCCTTCGACAGCCGAGAATTAACACAAATTAATGTAAGTAATGCATTGTAGTTAATTTTTTTACTGAATAGTATTCAATAAATTGCACACATTAATTGAATTTCTGCCGTTAACGGGACTGTTCCTTTGCAGACAACGCAATTATCAGTTTTTATCTTAAAATGGAATAACCGAAATTTTTATTAGTGCGAGAAATAAAAAAGGCGAAAAAAGCAATTAGGTGCATTAAAATCCCATAAATTATTCTTGAAAAAATAAGAACCAGCAGAAAAAGTACATTAACTTGAGAGAAGACCGCTCTGTTGATAAATAACCATATTGATATATCCCACATACTTATGTGTAGGTAATGAAAAACATTTTTATTTTACGCTGGGGCGATGAAATTTATAGTAATAAAATTTGTGGAGTCTGATAAAAATAACAAAATAAACATGGAATATCCACCAAGCAAGCATTATTTGTGATAAAAAATTGGTAATTTTAATTTGATAAAGAATGTCTATCGCATGTAATTTAAAGATTTAAAGAAATGCCGTTACTAAGAGCTTTCTGCTGTATAATTCTGCAATTTATAATCATTAGCGTTTTTCTGATTCGACAGGGCTAAGAGCGGCGCGGGGTGTGCCTCTCGCCGCGCCGAACTCGTGAGATGAGGGTGCAAGCTAAATTGAGACATCTCAACACGTGATTGATTACGACCGAGATTGCCAACTTGCAACTCACGACAGAGCGAATGCAAATTTTGCATACATTTTTTGTACACAACATTGTGAAACCTTTCTCGCGAATTTGAGTACGGAAATTTCATTACAGGCGAGTGCCCCCTGTGAGAAATATTCAGTCAGTCTCGTATGACAGCCCTTCACTTGTCTGTATCGATGCAGTCAGCCGAAAGGTGCGCGCCGGTAGGAACCGCGCGCTCAGAATGCGAACCGTTATAATCCCTCATCAAGCGTAATATGTTCAGTGTAAAAGGCATCATTAACGATTGCCTTAAAAAGGCAAACGGGAGCAATCATTAAAGTCGCAAAATATTATAAAAAGAAAATAAACAACGACACGTCTCGTTACGCGAGTTTCCGTTGCTACGAAAGTGAACACAATGATGTCAGTCCGCCGATAAAAAGCCGAGTAAAAAATGCTCTGAATGAGTAGAAGCGCTTTGGACACGCAACACATGGCTTAATCGTAGCTCACAATACTCAGATCGAACGGAAGTTATTTAGCAGCTATCTAACATATGCATTGTGGTGCAATGAAACAATTGCACGTGAATTGTGTAATTACCTTCATCATTATTTATTATTTTCTGGAAAATAAATATTCTGTTTATACAATATTTTAGACTTATCACGAGAATGTGAGGAAGATGAGTAATCTTTATTATTTTTAATATAGTATATGATTAATGATGGCGGGTGTTATTAAAATACTTCTTAACATATTTGCTAGGACGATGTAGGGCGCCGCGACACAACCCTTGCAATGGCGCAGAATAACAAACAACGTCTCCGTCTTACTAGCCGGATGATTAATTGCCGCTACGTACTGTGATTGATTGAGCTCTTTTCATAATATTTTTTGTACGTAAACTATTTTTGCGGAACGATATTTCAATCTATTGAACTTAGCTAACGTCTTGAGATAACATTTTAAAGTGATATTTGTCATTATATGTTTATGTAAATGTTACAGCCGTGGCGTGTGAACGCTTCCAATATTAAGAGCAGATCGAGTCAATAGTGTATTTTGTGCGATGTTTAATTAGGTGCAAAATCTGGAATTCGTGTTGTCTCGTGTGTTCGCCTGTGGAAAGCCATAAGGCGATGGTATCGCGGACGAAAGCAAAGCTCCGCCGAATCAGGGGCGTGCCAGCCGTAATTACAATCCCGCCACGCACACCCCGGCACCGGCCGGCTACACTCGCACCCAAATCTCTCTGTTTACCAAAATTTCTTACAATCTCTTAACCGCTTTTTGGCACGCAAAACATATTGAATTCGCATCGCGTGTGGATTATACTTTTTAGTTACGGTTGATAACACGATAAAATTGTTTCGTAGATATAGTGTAGGCATGGTTATCAATTTTGTGCTGTTTGGATTTAAATGTAGCCATTAAATTCTTTATTTGTATAAAATACGCCATGAAACTAAAAATGATAGAAAAATACTGTAAAGGAAGAGTTCTCACGAGTTTCTCTAAATTAAGCTAATTCGTCTGCACATGCCATAGTTTCATAAGCGTCCGAGCCTCAAACAACATGAAATTCTTCAGTGTTTTGTTTTCTTTTTGGAAACACGAAAGAATTCTCGTTAAGAAAACACGATGTTTGCCGCATTGAAATTGTTTTATCATAATGCAGTATGGTTATTGTTTAAAGGGAGCGATATTATCCGAACGGAGGCATGGACTCCCGGGGCGGTCATTGTATTCCTATATGGCGAATGTCAAAAGCGTCGTCTTAATTATCGGGCGGGGCTATACAATGCGGACTCGATTGCGGCGAGATAAGCTCTGTACACCTATCTGAGTCCGTATTGAATGCGATACGGCCGGGCCGCGGCCGGACTCGCGGCCCACTTACTGCCTTAATAATAACTTCAAACGTATGTCGCATTGTATCTCTGATTATTCCGATCTAAGCCCATTGAATACAGATAAAACGTGTTTGAATATGTTAGGCGCTGTCAAAAAAAGGAAAATGTATGAATAAAAAGTATATTACGTAAGTATGGCTCGTCTACGATACCTTACTGTAGTATGAGTAACGTCCCGTTTTATAACCAGTACAAACAATAACATTAAAATCAAAACAATACAAAAAACCAACTTCAATTATCTAAACCAGATTAACCAGATTACCAAATGTGGAATTTCTGGTTTATCAAGATTACATAGTTAACGTGTATTATGGTGCAATTTTATTGTGTCAACCTTCTCTCGGTGAGTACCAATTCATCACGATGTGTTTCAGGGAAGTGTCAGGAAACAATAATGATGGGATTTCCGATTTCCACGGCGCGTCGACATGACACCACGCGCCGCGTGTCTAATTGTTGCGGTTAATCTTTTGTCTAAGCACAACTTCTCACGAGTTAAATGGTAATTTAGTCATAGCATTGTTGCTGTCATTATATATTGAATTATACTCTAACAAAGACAATTATTTATTGTATGTTACACTGATTACAAGATCATCTCTCAGCTACAAAGAAAATACGTTTGAATGATGAACATTAACATCATTTCGGAAACAAAAACTATAACGTATCGATTACTAATATAATCAATTATATTATTTATCAAAGCTTAAAACCAAATATTGGCCCTGATATTTGTCTCTTTTAAATATTCAACCAGTCGTCTATGGGTATAAAAAATCGTGTTTTTCATTTAGTAAATGTAAAACCTGCCTATCGAGAATTATGTTAAGCACCGGAACGATTGATAGTCACTTATTCGTTTTTCACCAGTTTGTTCACAAGTATAAATAAATACGAGTTGTTTTTGCATGTTTGGTAATTCGAGTAGCTGGAGAAAGAAATATGATGAAAGTGAATACTTGAAGGTGAGCCAAAGGCTAGTAGGGAGCAGGCGAGCAGGCGAACAGGGTGAAACCGAGCCGAGACGCCTGCGGTCGCGCTCCCGACGGAGCAAGTCCGGCCGCTCCCACTTATCTACTTACCACCACTTACTTACAGTAGCCCTTGTTAAACTCAAATTATCTTGCAACATATTGCCCACTATTACGTAAATCTACTTGTTCATTAAGTTACATAAAAAGCAAACTTTTGGTGTTCAGTTTACTTCATCGTAGGGTACTGAATTTATGGAATATGAGAACATTAATTTCGATTGTTAATTGTGTTCTTTGCAGCCGAGCGAATAACACGTGCATACTGTTATCAGATGAAACTCGCGAGGTAACTGTAGATAGGGAGGAATACTGACAATTACCTAAGGATTTTACGTGATCGTTCCCTGCCTACCAAACGTATTGATGTCCCTTGTTACATTTCGATTATAAAATGTGTAATATGTACCTGTGTTGATTAAGTTTCAAGATAGGAGCAATAATATAAAATGTTTTATTTGAACAGTAGCGCCAGGAGTTATTAATTAAGATGTTCGCGGAGCCGGACGGCGGGCGTCGCGTCGCGACTGCGGCACGGTTTGATGCCGCGGCGCGGAGTATTTTACGATTCCCTATGCAAGTACGTCCAGTGACCACTGCCACAGCTTTCTAAGGTCTACTACAAGTAAACATCCGGCCACTTAACCGTTAGCGTCGATAATTCCATTGACTTTTTTAACTGAGAATGTCCAGTATTCGTTTAATTCTATTAAAAGACTCACCTTGACTGTTTGGTTCTTGAGTGGTTTGTCAGGATCGTGAACATACTCGAGCGTGATGCCGTAGAACTGGCCTTTGTTGATGTATGTGATCCGGTCATCTTCACGTCTCTGCGAACTGCTGCTCGCTGTTTCCAGGTGATACTTGAAGCCATACGGGGAAAACCTGGCACAAACAAGCAAATTGTTTATATCATCACTGAGAAACGACGAGTTGCTATGACATGTACGACACCTGCGGGCTCAAGATTTAAGATAAACACACAAAAACTTGTGTATTGCGGAGTAGCGCAGTAGGCGACCAGTCCTTAATGTTTGTTGGAACATAAAATGCACAATAAGAGCTGGTTTCTGAAACATTTAGAAAAAGTGCGATTTCTTCTTTGAGATACTTATCTACGGATACACGTTCTCGACAATAAAGTTTCCATGAAGTAAAGCAATAAAAGTGTGCAAAAAGTGGAAATCTTAATTGCACGGCCGGTACAGCTTGTCAGCGGCGTCGTTACATAAAGGCGCAGATCTAGTTCGTAGTACGCAATGAAAAACTGTGTTTTCTCGCGATTTCCTGACTGCTGGACCGACGGAAGGAAAACCCCGCTAATTTAGCGGTGATCGCGTGCCGCGGCTCGTTAGCGACACCAGCGCTCGGCTCGCACGCCACGGCCCGCGCCCGCGCCCGCCTGCTTGTCACCGCGCTGATCTCGATGCGCCCACGCGCGACTCTCGCGCTCACAAACTGCACCACCAAACTAACTAGTCATTATCAGAGTACTCTATTGTGGCACAGACTTAACTTATGTAACATGATAAAAAGTAATAAATCGTTATGAAACGTTTAATCCTTTAAATCTGTCCAAGGAATGCGGATAAAGCAGTTTGGGTCGATTTAGTTCTACAGTTACACCATTACTTAAGCTTATTGAAAACAATTTGGTAAACAGCCCCGCTGATGTTTGCGATTTGAACCGAGCTTGTGAAGATAAAAGCCGTGTAATGCAAACGCAGGCCGACATTGACGGATCGGTCGCGGCGGCGCGGGCGCTCGCCTATCTGATGCTCTCTAAGTGATTCCGAACACAATTTACATTTGCAATGTTGCTTTGTATTGTCATTTCAACTACCCTTATCCTTTGTTTACTTACACTTGATGGACTGTTCGTACTACCAGCGAGATTATAATTTTGCAATACTTCCCGATCAATAAATACAAATGGACGAAAGACAATGACGACCACGATAGATGTAGCTGTATAACATGCAGGTTGTATGGGTACATGAATTCTTTGTATTCAGTAATAAATAACACATTGTTTTCGAATGAGCTTCATTACAAATTTCAGTGGTGAAGCAGCCAAAAAAAGACACTTCCTGAGTGGAGACAAGAGCCTTGCCTTTCATGAATAAATCAATCGGAGAGGCGCGGAAATTGATGAGTGCGCAAAAAGTCTTGGAACGTAGCGACAACAAAGTGCTCGCAATAAAAACGCATGCCGCGATAAGAGACGCACAGGCTCGCGTCCCGCAGAGTCTTCGAGCGCTGCGGCCCAAATTAGATGCGCATAAAGACGAACCCTCTATAACTACATACGCTTATGGAAAAAGACCATTTATTGAACAGTCATTTTTTGTATTTCGTTTCAAGTAAAAATCAACACCATTTCAGAAATCACTCTAAAAGAAGTTACGATAAATAAAACTGATATGGTGGACATGATAACTTTTATGAGAACAAATTCAATATAAAAATGAAGCGATAAACAAAACTATAGCATACATACATAGTATGTGCAACATAAACAAAAAAGTCCAGTTCGTAGAGATGAAAAAGCTTAGTCTATTTTGAAGTAAACTGTGAAATTCCTGACAACATGCGTCACATGAAACCAAGAGAATTCGCAGCAGGGCGACGCTGCTGGTATTAAAAACCCGTAAAAATGACTCGTTAGCGATCATTAACATTTCTTACCCTTTTTTCTTCGACATGAGACCGAGGGATAAAATATGCAAGTGTCTATGTACTTATACGGATATTTCTTAATTATCGTACGTAGACTACTAGTCTTGTTTCCCATATAAATAATTGTTAAAACTGGTGTTCAATTTTATCTGTTTGAACACCATCGTATTTTGAAGAAATTGAGGACACACATTTTTGAAGGCTCACAAATTCCAAAAATTAACCCACAAAACCAATTTGTGATTCTAATAAAATAAACGCTTTCATTAATTTACTACATTCCGACTAATTGTAAAATTTGATCAAGTAGGTAGGTATGCTCGTAGCATCTTTGGAATTAAAAGATATCATCTTTTAATTCTAGGGGCGGTGAGCAGTGCTCTAGAGATAGCACGTTGCAGTGTGCGGTGGCTCGGTGTTGCAGGAGCATCATGCATGCGGCTGCTTAATGAGAACGCTTAGCCAGCGTAATGGCGCCACGCTGATTGCCGGCTGCGGCTGACGCCCGACACACGCACCACGCAACCATATCATCATAGTCAAACTACTATTATTTACTGCTACCATCGCTGCAAACGATTCATGGAAGTTTTCCTAACTCATTCGTAGGAATTGCAACAAACACGCATTTGGCGAACGAAACGTAATAATTGCAACTTAATGCTAAAGTGTAATACTACTCTAGTACGGTTCGGCTGTAAAGAACAGTTCATGAGACAATAAAATTGATAAGTAGATCGAGAACAGCTCTTAGTGATCGAGCAAACGGAATGAAACGTAGTTTCAGTACTTATAACAGAGGTAGAGGAATGCCGTTTAAAGTATACATTCATTTGGCTTAAAGCGGACAGATGTTAGGATCGCGTGTACGCCGCAATCCTGAAGCATTGCAGCGATATCGCTCTTCACATTTATAAGTCCCGGTAATGAACTTGTAACATTGAGAACCATATTAAAAATAACGGCACTTTTCATTAAATTATGCGCATTAACCTTTATCAAACATAAAATGGAAATACATATTTATAGACATAAATTAAAGACAAAAAGTCGTTATGTTATTATTTATCAGTTCGTTAATTAATTCTGTGATACAGATAAATATGTGAGCTAGTGCCTTTTGAAGTGATAATCAAATACACACTTCGCTTGATTAAGTTACTATACCTTTTAAAAACTCATTCCTGCGTTGAAAATTCGAGAGGTAAATAATGCGTCTGTTTGATACGTGGAAAGGTATTGGTGTAGTTAACTGACCGGTAAGTAATAGACCAAACATTTGTGAGGGCGTTAGAATTACTGACGCGATGGCCGCTGGCGAGGGCTGGTAATCGGGCGCGCGGCGACGCGGCGAGCGAGAAGCGACCGCGTATCGACATCGGAGGTAATTTAAGACGGTAGAAGCGACCGCGCTATTTGGGCCAAATGCAAGCAAGTAATTATCGAGATAATAATGCTAATGCACTTATCATGTCGACGAGTGCTTCCGCTGGCGACGCGATGTTTTTTCCAACGATTTCATTTCGACGGTATTCCGATGTTTGTATTGGAACTTAAATCGTACAATTTAGTTACGAATGAATCTATTTATACTTTTTTTAAGTTAAGTTGTTTGAAAATGAATTAAATTACTCAAAAATTGGTAATTTTTTGTAATTGTTTAATTGCATTGAATATTTATAATTTACTTCATTTAGAATGTGGTTCGATAAACGATGTGAATATGAAAACAATTACTTCGTCACTAACTTAAATAAAATTAAAAGAACATTTAATGAGACAGAAATGGTAAACTATGTGTACTTACGTCTGTTGCTTTTTGTCCAATTAGGTAGCGTGTAAATAAATGTATTTTATTATTCTGCTGAACATTAACAGGTACTTAATTCGCATTGAGACAATTGTTGTCTTAACAAGAACAACTAACACAAGAAAAACAGATACACCAGTATATAAAATATTTCTTTAATAAAACATCACAACGTTGCATTGTTACAACCTGCTGTACCTCTATAGGGTTGTTTCGGTCTTTCCCCGTGTATGTGATAAACTGATTCTTGTTCTAATAGTGTAATGTATGATAAATGTATTCGGTGTATTGAAGGGAAATGCATTTAACAACAGTTGTACATCAATTTAATAAAAGGTGTCTATAATTTTAAAACCTCAAATAATTTACTACACTTTGGAAACGAGTTGGGTAAAACCTGTGACTACGAACTACGGCGATTGTTTATCCATGTGGGAATACCCTTGTTGTAAAATTGAAGAAACCCATTTAATATCGGCAGTTTATCATCCCGCGCAAATTGTACCGACGATGGAGAACAAGTTGCCGACTACTCGTAGGCGAGGAGTCCTAGTCTAGGAGGTAACCAGAGCACCGTTGCGCAATGTAAAACCAAAATACAACGTAATACAGCTTTCAGACTTACTCATAAATACACTCGATTTAACTCTTGCACAGAATCGATCATGGCGCGATTATTGAAACTTAAGGCTCGTTTCACAATGTCTGATTATGTTTCTGTTAGTGTATCTGATAGTTAATTAGACGTACTTTTTCATAGAAAATGTATCAAAATATCTCTCAGTTTAGCTATTGTTACTCAACCAGATGTTGTGGAATAGATTAATTATAGATTTTTAAATATTTAAGTATTACATTCTAGTTCATCGTTTTTTAACACTAATCTTAGAGATACTATATTTTACTCGATTATAAAATACAATAAAATAGTTTTAAAAGTAATTGAAGTTTAACTTTGTGTCTTTGGACCTACCCAAGGCATTCAAATTATAAAGTGAACAATCTTAATTAAATGTATCAACTTTTACTCATTGAGTCATTGTACAAATGAGAACGAACGTACGTAGGTAGTTGTGCGAATAACACTTATAGATAGGAACTTCCTTTGATAACTGTGTGGTACGAACACACGTTCGTACATATTATAATATACCAATTTAGTTCGATAAACAAAACTATTAACAGTGACGATTTTCACGAGAAATCGTTGAACTTTTACTGAATGTAAGGATATAGGAAAAAGTTAGAGTAACCGTCTAATTTAATAACATACATCTCAATTAAACATAACATAACATCACGCCTTTTTATCACCAGAGGGGTAGGCAGAGGTGCACATTACGGCACTTAATGCCACTGTACAATGTATCACCCATGTTTCACTATTTATGTTATGAGTCCCATTTAATAGGGGTGAGCCTATTGCCACATACCGGACACAATCCCAGACCCCGTACTATTACTGAGAATTTAAAAACCCAATAATAGTTTGTCCGACCCGGTAATCGAACCCGAAGACCCCTTGCCTGCGATTCGCACTTGCGACTACTCGGCCAACGAGGCAGTCAATCAAACATTTCTTGGTCAAACATATTTTTATTAGTATAAAGATTACTTCTATTGAGTTTCTGTTGAAAACGTTGATCGATCCAGATATTACGAATTTAGATTATGAGTATCATCATACTCGTATGTATCATGGATAATATTTTTAGAAGTAGGTAAATAAGTTACAATATTTACATTTATAGTAATATGTTTTATCAATTTCACTAATTAACATAATCGCTAAAACAATTAAAATCACATTTCAAGCAATGATATCTATCAATAAACTATTAAGGAATGGTATTTTGAAATGTTAGACATTATTTATTATTATTTCGTACATTGTTTAATAAAAATATCTATCTGACATAACTAAGTATTCATTCAATTCTGAACTTTATGTTGTACCAAACAAGTCTGGAATGCGTCTTAAGTATTATTGCTATAGGACATTTACTCATATTTCACTACATTGTATGGTTTCGGAACAATGAACTTGGAAAATGGAACTCCAAACAAAAATAGTCCTTACATGGGTACAGTACAGTACATATTCGAGGGAACTAATTAAGAAAAACCCTTCAAGTAAAATTAACTTGTCAGTTAGGAAATTACTAATTCACACCTGCTTTTACTGGTTGTATTCAGAGATCACGAAATGTAAGTTAGCACCTCTTAAAGAACTATTCCGGTAACAACTTAACAACGACAGAGAGGAACACAGGCGGTGCCGGTTGTAAGCTTAATTGATTGTTTGAAGACGCCAGGTTTTACTGGTACTCGTACTTGTGTCATAGAAACTGTGTTTAAGTCATGTACAGTCTGCAATGTTATTTAGTATCCAGGTACAAAAATAAACATTGATTCAGTATAGAGACAACCATTGTCAGCCATTGTTTGGCTACTGTTCTGTTCAATAGTTTCTAAGCTGAAAATGTCAGATACTGTACTTTAATTTTAACAATCTGTTCAATAGTTTCAAGAGATATGGTTTCATTGTAACAGTCATCAGTGTAACAAGAGCTACTGTCTCTATACTAAGTCAGTCTTTATTTTCATACTTGCATACCAAATACAATAATAATGTAGGCAGTACTGGTAACATTACCTATAGGTATATTTCTCCCCGAAAGATACGCTGCATTGTGACAATGATAAGGTCAATTTAATTCTTGCTAACATTCTACTAAAAATTAAATTTCGAATATTTTATTGCCTACATCGTAGCACTTTGAATAAGGAAATATGTTTAAAATACGAAGGAAAATCATTAGTCAATTCATACATGTATAATTATAATGTATAATGGATTCCCACACTAATACAGCGTGTTTGATCCGATACGCGCTCGCACAGTTTTTAGACAGAGATCAAACGATAATGATATCATTACTGATTAGATAATTAACTGATGAATAATTGAAGTCATTTTAATGTTCATTTTATTGACAAATAAATAATGTGAGTTTGCATATTATGTATGGTGGAAATTTACTAAGATTTATTAATCTGTCAAACACCAAGCGGTCACCGGTGACCGCGACCTATTGTTCTTTAATTGTGTCTATAAAACCGGTACTCGACGAGTTAAATAGGGATGATGATAGAGTATGTAAATTAAACGTACATTCATTCAATCAGTCATATACTCACAAATGTTATATAACAATTAAAATAAAATATGATTGTTTTAAGGGCTTGCTACGTTATAATAAAATGTAATATGACGTGACGTCATGCTGAGTCTAATTAATGTATGAGTGAAAAATTGAAATTAAATTAAAAAATAATAACTATATCATCCCTATTGTAAGTATATTCGTTATGAGATTAGCATATAGGCATGCAAAACCGCAAATTGTTAAATATTATTATTAAATATTATCACATTTTATTTATCAATTTTCAATACATATCAATGAACACAGAATGAGATTTCTTGTGGCTTGACAACCGCAAACCGCAACTTTTTTATTATCTAAGGTTCACGGAAAAAAACACAATACGACGAAAAACAAATCGCGACAGGAACTAAAACTTAAAATATGCCTTAAGTTGTTGAGACACCGAAAATGTAAGATTCATGTGTAGAATACAAAAAAAATAAAATAAAAGCTCTTTATAAAAAGACTGAAAATAATAATTGTAAACTTGGAGTAAATGTCTTGATTTTGAAAAAAAAACCGTTGTTTAAATTCAAAGTGCAAACATATTTCTGCTGTCGTTGATGTCTTTTGTTCGAACGGATTTAATTGAGTGAAATTGATTGTTACCACTTCAAGTTACTTTAGCGTATAAATAACTTGTTATAATTAAATAGAAATTCAATTGGAATCTAATTTGGAATCTAATTACGCTTATTAGAATATAAATAAAGATATTATTATTCTGAATATTTTTGATAACTCATTGAAATAACATACATAAAGGTACTCAAAGTTAATAATGAACACGAATTAGGTACGAGACTAAGATATTGTTTATGCATTTTCGAGACAGTAACATTGTGTCCTCTACGCGTGTGTTCGTTACAACAAAACTCAACGTTTCCTAGAAAGGGCCACATTATAGCCGTCGTGCGAGGAGGTGCAAAGTGCTTCGTCAATATTTTCGTTTGGACCACTCTCGTACCAGCAAATTACGTACTTTACAAAAAAGGTTTGATCAAAATGAATTGACTGTTTACTCTACTTGTTTATACCGGAGGCGAGTTGTTTGTTTGTCAGTAACCATGGTGTTTAATTGTAACGAACAACTGAACAATATTTTTACCAAATCGATACGAATCACGATGTTAATGATATTGGGAAATGTAATAAGAATTTTGATGGGACTAAGTTAAAACATTGGTCGTACATTCGACTGTTATTTTAATTCTATTTTTGGAAAAAACTTTAAATTAAGGTTTTTTATATAAAAAATATAGGATATTCGTGTAACTACGTGAGTTTTTTATCAATGTATCGCTGTCAATGGCAACTGCGGTGGGAACTACTAATCATAATTGCCAAAATTAGACACGTGAATTATACATATTTAATTTTGAATCACTTTACATAATAAATTCGTAATTAACTCAGAAGCTTAAAGAGGTTTTAGGTAAAAATAATAAAATGTTAATATGGCGAACTCGTATCAAACGGCAGCCTGTTTTCGATGCTGTGTATAAAAAATGACATTGCTGCGGTTGGGTATGAATGAATGCTGTATTACTTTATATGTGCTTTGGTTTTACATTCCTGTGCCTTTCGAACGCGTTTGCAAACTGACATCAACACAGGTCGATGTTACTGCCCGATGCAGTCTCAAACATGCATAGTTCAGAGAGTACTCACAGTTTAGCGATTTGTATCTTGTCAGCGTCATTTTGTCTCCCGAAGTCATGCCAGGGCCTGGTGCGCGGCGCCTGCGCGGGTGAGTGATGCGCTGATGGAGTCCCTCGACCGTCCTCACCCACTCCCGGCTGCTGGCATATCACCGTGTAGTCGAATGACTGCACGGACATACACACATTATAATCACACCAAATAAACAATATCCCCGTAGGTACCTAACTGCCCATAGAAATAATATTTACCAAGAAAAACGTTTCCAACGTAACATAAAACCCAACATCTTTACGACATTTAACACATTCTTATTTGCATATCTTATTAGATTGGCACTGTGGTACTAATATTAAGAATATATTTTTTAATAATTTCCTTTATTTTTCAACATAGTCAATATATTGTCATTTGTTTTTTGAAATATCGATATACATATATGTAGGTACATACGTACCATCTCTGGATTTTAGTGGAAACAAAATATGTAATGAGATATTTAATGTCGCAATCTCCCATAAATTAAATCTAATTGGCAACTAATTTATGGTAATGGTTACACATTAAAATATCATTGTAGTTACGTCATCGTCACTACTTGTGCTGACAACATTGAAAATAATTACAGTTATGTCGTGAAAATGTTGAGTTTCGAACATTGATAACTTGTAAGGTCTTAACTATTTATTCAGAAAACACCTACATCTAGTACTAAAGGAATGTAACATTTGTGTTAGAAGTCGATGGACAAGTCGACAAGTTGGAAACAATGTTCGGTAGCGAGGTGTCAGCCATAACTTATTTAGTACCGGACTCGTTTCTTTTACATCGAGCTAACAAAAGACTAAATAATGAATGTACAATCTAGACCAGTTGGGTGGTAAATAGGTAGTTTCCATGCTCGTGATCGCCACACCCTAGGAACTGCCAAGTCCTTCAAAACCACTTAGCTCAACCAGATTACCGATCATGTCAATTTGTTATTTTAATATGTAAACTCATAAATTTCAAGTCAAATGCAAAGTGTTCGCAATTGTGTTAGTTGAAGGTCTCGCGTGGCGTCGACTCTATTGTCTGTACCTCTACGGCGACGCACTTATAATTAGTAGACTCTGCTATTATACTTAGATTATCTATTAGCTAATTATTCACCGCTGCTATTCTAATAGGAATCGGTAGAGATACTAATATTGACACGAGTCTAGTTGGCAAGTGGTATGTTTACCTATCTATCTATGAATGTACCTACGTTTTCAAAGTATGTTGTATGGTCGATAATTTGGGCATCATTCATCGAAATATCGAAATTCAATTTTCAGACATCAGACAAAAAGTAAATGTATGTAGAACATTTAAATTTAAATTTGAACAGTTATTTTGTCAAACAGAATGATGATCTCATCATCAACATCTATGACTAAACAATAACACAATTCCTGACTTGAAAGTGTTGACTTATATATGACACCTAACTTATCATAAATAAGGAATACTTGCAAAGATAAGACAATACTGAAGAGCGCGGGTGGGCTTCGATGTTTGTTGGTACAAACTACCACTCCAAACAAATGGGTTTGCAACTTTGACATTACTTAGGTTCCAGTCGCGATACTTTTAAGAAAATGTATAAATGTACCTAGACATAACATTTGAAGTGAAAAGTGAAGATCCAAATTCTCATACAGTATGAAGTGAAATGTTCAATGTGAAGCCACTAAGAAACATGTTGTGAATCCTCACAGCATGTATCTCAAAGGAGTGAGAAATGCATGAATGAGCCCTACGACTGTAACATCGCAGCGATCTGTAAATACATCGATACATTGTTGTGTAGTGTTGTTGTTGTATGTGTGTGTATGTGTGAGAAGCCCGCCCGCCCGCGCCCGTGTCGTGCACCGACCTGCTGAACAGCGGACGCGTGGTCCCGAGGAGTCACTGCGTCAGCTCCTATGCCGCTATCTGGTGAGGGCAGGTCCACTGTGAGCCCAGCGGCTGCGATAACACTCTTGCTGTGATAGCGAGGGGTGGCGTATCGATCACTAAAGGCGGATGCGGATGCCGGCTCCGCATCAGCATAAGGTGGTGCAGCCCTTTGCTGATAACCCTCGCCAACGAAGTATTCTCTGTAGTAGGGCTCGCCAGCAAAGGTAGCCGGTTGGCGCGAGTACTGGTCGCCATAGGGGGTGGGACTGGGTGTGCCTGGCGGCGCGAACATCTGGGCTGCGTACATGGCGGCGTCTGGCAGCAGCGAGCCGGCCGAGGAGGCCCGCGACGGCGCCGGAGACGGCGAGGCCGCTTCACCAGGTTCACCCACCGCCACCTGCGGACACACGCGCCTGTTACACGCGCTCTCCCACGACAATTGTCCGCTCCGCAATGTCGACGCGTACATGCCGCGTCAAAGCACAGTTCACAGCTTCACGTACACTAATGTCGATTGATTGTTTCACGTTCACGTTTATCAATGAGGGTAATCCCGAAAATGTGTAATGGTCCTTGACAGTCGCCGAGGTCGGCATGCACTGGGCGGGCAGCACTGGCCGGCCGAGCTGGGCGCGGGCGGGCGCGGCTAGTGCGTCTCGAGCGCGGTGCTCGGCGCATCGTTCGACAATCGCGATAAATAATACATGAGTGACCGGTACAGTAAGTGTGTGAGTGCGTGCGCGCGCGGCGGCGGCGTGCGGACGTGTGACGCACCTTGTGTCGCGGCGGCTTGAGCGCGTGCTCGGGCTCGTCGACCACCTTGCGGCTGAGGTCCTCAGGCTCGCGCTTCACGAGCCCCGCGTGCAGCAGTCCCGAGAGCTCCGCCAGCTCCGCCCCGTGCGCGCCATTGGCCGCCTTCAGCGCTCCGCCGGCCCTGCGGAGGGGAGACACCCGTGATTGGCGACGGTGCGCGCGCGCACTTCGAGTCCGCCCGACCTCGCCATGCGCGCGCGAACTCGTCATACTATCATTCTCGCTCTAGGTGTTACACACTGTCAAATTGTCACATGGTATTTTCCTAGCAATCAAAATACAAATAAAATTATCATACTTGTTGCAGTTTGCAATATTATTTACATTATTGCAAGGCTTACTTTATATTTCTTAGTAAATATCTAATCCTAGATAAAGTTATTTTACAGATATCTGGCCTCAATGTTCTGCTCAATCCTAATATGGTATTTGAGATAGAAGCCTACTTTCAAACTGTATAATATAAAATAGTTGACATTATTTAACACTTTATCACGAGACTCTGTATTTAGTTATTGAATAATATGTTTGATACCAGTTTTCATATCATTTCTGGTATTTTGTCCACATTGCTTGTAATAGGTTTCAAGTTTAAGGTTGAAATTTAAATATTAAGCCAATTTAATATTTTTATCAAGTATTATAAAATATTGTAAATTAATATTTTATGAAGTACATTCATATACAAGCGTTTGTTGTATAATGTAAATAGCTACAGTGCTGCCGTCTACTTTTCGATTCTGAAAGTACATCAAGTGATAAAAATCTGCGAGTATATTATTTTCCGCCTGTCTGTAATAATTACATTAGGGGATAACATATCCCCTAATTCAGTCGAAAATAAATTAATTGTTAAACCTATTAACTCGTCGAATACCGTATTTATAGACACAATTAAAGCACAATAGGTTGCGGTCACCGGTGACCGCTTGGTGTTTGACAGTTGAATCAGTACATACATCATACATAGAAATAATCTCACATCCATGGATTGTTTGGATTATACAGATTTTACTGGAGAATTTGAGAGAAATAAGTACACTGTGTGAGACATACATTATGAAATTCTAACTTGTCATTTTTGTTATTTTATAGAAAATTCAAGGTTTTTGGATATTTTGAAAACAATATGCAATTTAACTAATTGAAAATTTCCCTATAAACTGCATATAAATATCATTAACATTATACTCCATTAATTTGTAATATAGTTAAAAGTTAACTAATTTTTTACCATTTATTTAATGATCTTATTGTGGGAAAGCCACTTGCTAAATATTTTAAATAACTTTAAATTCTGTGCAATTGCAATCCTTTTAACACGAAATGTATAACAGTCCTTGGTAATATTGTCAACTCATCCGAAGATTTAGTAAATGAGTCAGCATCTTAACTAAAAATCGTGGGTGAGTAACCCGAGATTTTTAGTCAATTTACTGTCTCACGATAGTTGTTAACTGACTGTTGACAGTACTCTGATCGAGATACCTAAATCATAACATCAAGTCATTTCAGTAGCACTTGTACTTCAAGACCTATTAGATAGTCAAAATGTCATGAGTTAATAATACTAATAGAATTGAAAATAATAAAGGAATAATAAAAAAATCACTGCGTTAATATAATAACCATGAAATAATGGGAAACCAATGAGGTGCAACGTAACATTATGCATGAAAAAACGTATCTTCCATTTCTATAATTTCTGAACCACCATTTATCGTGGTTCAGATACATATAATCTAAAAGTATCGACATCTGTATTTTAATAATTGCAATTAATTCTTAAAATTCGGTGCCAACCGATAAATAAATTGGTCTAAAAAAACATTAATTACACTGCTCTTATTGCGTACTACGAAACGCTACGAAATTCGTAGAACTTCGTAGCACCTTAATTAGTGTAAAGTTCTACGAAAATGAGTGAATGCAACTAAATATCTCTGATGGGATATGGTCAGTTTTATCTTTAAGTATGTTCTTACATTACTTACGGGTCACTATAACGTATATTTCTTTTTTAGGACCACAATCTTGATTGCTACGTGAATAAAAAAGAGAAACGGTAGCCGATTAGATCCGATACATAAGAAGCACCAACATCCGTTGCAGGACAATGAGGACAATAATATCTAAACACTACTTGAAAGATCGGGGTCAACCTATAATTCAAGAATATCCCATGTTATTACAAGAAACAAGATATATTCGAATTTTAGCATTCAATCGATTAGTTTACACACATTGAAAACAAATTGTTGCTTTATGTACGGTAAAATAGTAGACGGCATTATGACATATTAGAAGCATAAAATAATAATGTAACTAATGAATCAAACGTTCATCACATGAAGTGGGGGTCATACACAAATTGAATATCAAAAAGCTATCAAATGAAATGACACATGACAGATGGGTTCTGACAACGATACCAAAACACTAAAATATATAGGTGGCCAGGTGCTCTAACATAAATATAAAACAATACACATTTACCACAAACGTCACAAGTAGGACGGTTTACGTGTAATAACGTTTGCAAGTTCATTTACATGGGAGTGATTTGATTTGTTTGCATGTAAGCGCGCACCTCGAGCGGCGAGCAGCGCGGGGCGCGGCTTTCGTCGGCCGTTGTCAGTGTGCGCCGATTTATGATAATTGAAGACATGTTTCACCGGCGCTCAGATGTTTATTTTAGATAAGAGAGTCTCGCGGCACTATTTCATGCGTCCGAATTGGTCGGGACGCGCGACCTCCCGCGCGCCGAGCTCCGGACGCTCCTCGCCCGTGTCCGATTGCAATTCTCGCTTTGCTCATTCTTCACGATTTATGCACGCGATTTGTAAGAGAAACGCGACGAGTGTGAAATCGCTCATTCGATAAGATAAAGCTGAGCCGTATAAAATATTTCTGTTTGTTTCGCCAAATTTCCGCAGTGTGAGTAACGAACAACGCGACATGCGAAAAGTGAAACGAATTTGTAATATCAAGAGAATTAAACGCAGTTATAGTCGGTACTGTGGTATTTTGATGTCGTGAACGTTTATCCCTCCAGCTTTTTTTGCGATGCATGCAAATTAAATTATTGGTATTAATCCGAGGTCGGTATGCCGGCGGCGTCGCGTAGATATCGTTATTCATATGTGCGGGGCACAATACGGTGTTTGCTTGTCGCTTATTGTTGACGGTTGTACAAACGGGACAAAGCGCGCTCCGTTGACAGCTGACGCTTCGAGCGATGTGGGTGCTGCCACTATCAAGTACCGAGCTTCTTACGAAAGTCTCGCATTCTTATCTGATATTTGAATAAAATGAAAATTAAGTATATACTGACAAAGTACTCAATTACTCCTTGATTCTAAAGCAATTTGCACCCGGAAAAGTATAGATATCTATCCTTACATTGCTTCAACTTTTTACCAGTTCTGTTATAGCCCTTATTTATTTATTATGGTTTTAAAAAGAACGATTGCTACAAAATACGGGCACCATGCCAGATGTATGTCTGGACTACACATGGTAAGTACTAAAACAACTTGACACGTGTAAAAACAAGTATGTATCTTCAGGTATACTTAGTTTCTTAGAGACACTAATCGAATTAAACAACTCATAGTTTCTTAGTTTACAAATAAGTTTTTTAGGAAATTCTATGTTTACAAGTGTTCTATGTTTACAACAACCCCATACCCGGCCAGCAAATCCCTCGTCACTGTTGTGTATATTTCTCAAAGTCTATCAGGTAGCGGAATAGATTTCCCAAACTGTTAATCTGATATCAGTGTCATGTTGCTTGTGATTAACATAACAGTGACTGTAATAAAAGGTAGGAATGATCACCATCTCTAGCAGTGTGCTACATTTTACATGCAAATATAAATTTTCTTATCAAAGCTGAATCGGTTCGTCGCTCGGATGCAATTGCCATTATAATTATTTGCAATGTTTACTTAACACCCTTTCACACATGATGAGATCTCGACAATACGATACTTAGGGTGCAAGGACCCTCTTCCGAACTCATACATGCATTCAATGCGTTTATCGAAATACCTCTTACAAGATACAAAGGGCATCTTTCGCGAGTCTTTTTTTAATTTATAATCGGAATAAATATTTTTGAAAATTCTAATATCGGAATCAAATTATAAATGCTGTTAATGCTTAAGATTTTTATTAATACCTCATAGTTGAAGTAGTCCATGAACTACGTTTCTTCACTACCTATTCTGGAATATTATAGAAATAACTCATATTCCTAATATGGCAACGTCGTTATCTGCAACATTTATTCTGAAAACCCTAATGTAGCTCCACGGAACCTGAGATAATAACTTAATAAGCTAACACATGCGCAGCGAGCTCTATCTGTAACAAAATCTGAGGCGGCGACAGTTTATCCATCGTTTGACGAATAGATTACAATCTACCGAACGATAAACGAGACGAAGGAGGCGCTTGCAGCGGATACGACCAACGTAATTTCATTCTATTTGAATATATCATTCGACTAAATGTAGGTTTATTGCTGCTTTTCTCACGGAACTAATACATTATCAAAAACTTTAATTGAAAACGATTTCGCCATTTGTCTAAGTCATTAAATCGGGCGTGTGATTACAAATAACTGTCTCTGTCCATTAATTTCTCCGTACTTTATTCCCTAAATGGTAATTAATTTTATCTGCCCACAGTAACCGACTAACAAAATAGTAATAATAAACAGCTGTACTTTTGGCATGCCTACAGTCTACAGTTCTAACGAATTCTTTGCGCAGCTGTTCCAATGTAATATGTACTATAAAATATTCGCATGTTGAAGAATGGTCAAGAAAGAATGGTCAGTCCCGGTTTTCATTTTTCGCTACGTGATGGCCGAGACTATCAGGGACAACGAAGTTACCATCTTTTTATGCATTATCCTCATGAGAGGGTCCGTTATATCCAGGGGGATTGAATGGTATTAACTACTGTGCCTTCAACAATAACGACGTATCTTCAAGAAGAAACCGGTTCTAGTCCTAAATGGGTCACACGGTTCCAACTCCCTGAGTTTTTGTTAAACCACCGCGACATAACGACACATGTGCTCAGCTCGCTTGCTAAATTACATTATTCACTGCTTACTTTACTTACTATACAATTAATTTACTTTTCATTTTAAAACTATTAAAAACCCCTTAAATACGTAAAATGGCAATATGACGAGTATTTTAATGTTAACTACTTACAAAATATTATCCGTTTACCTACATAGTAATTAAATACGAAGATAATTTCTATCATTAGCTCGTAAAATAAGTTAGGTACATTAGTGTGGAGAAACCGACTTCCCGTTAGTACAGCAAGTGCGAACAGTGACAGGGTCAAGAGGGCGAGGCCCTCCCCAGAGGCATCCCGCCGCGCGTTTCTATGCTAATCTTAGCGTTAGCATTCGACAGCCTCCGACAACTATTAATGGTTATAGCCGCCGTTTCCATTTAATACCCGTAACATCCGCGTAGTCCTGTGCTTAGACTTTAGTTTTACTTAGCTGCGCCCGCGCACTACGCAATGCGTTTACGAAACGATTTCACGCCTACGTCAACGAATCTCGAAGGAATACAGACGGAACTAGTTTACTTCTACATGTATCGAGCATTCAATTCAAATAATACGAGCGATTTAGACAACAAATAGTGTGCTTGAAACCTGACGATGCACTGGCGCTGAACTATTAGCATACAAACGCATTCGGAGACAGAACGCGCGTATGGGTGCGGGCGACTGAGAGCATTCGTTATAATTTTGAATGTATGAATGAGCAATAGTGGCGCGCGTTGAACCGAGCGCGTGGGACGCGTGCCGACAATGACTCGAGACAAGTCCTGGGCGTCCTTGTCAATGTGAGCCGCTTCCAGCCACATCCGTCTATTGTCATTATTTGTATTTATGCACTCCCGTAAACAGTGACGAGCATGACGGGCGGAATAGAGGCCCGACTGTCACATTCTGGAGCACAGTCTCGGCAGCCGGGAGCGTGAGGCTGTGCACCGGCAGACCCTCGGCCACGTCGTCGTGTGTGGTGACACGTGGGAGGCTTTTACCACTTCGACAGTTCACTATTCCTATGTGAAACACCTACTCGTACATAACAAAACGCTAAAGAATTTACACTTGTACAAGTTATACGCGTAGTTAACGTTGAGTTAATTTTGTTGACAACAGAATTTAATTCAAAAATTAACATTTTCACGGATTCAAAACTAGTTTCTCATTCAACTAGTGTTTATGGAACATAATAAAACATTCATAAAAGTTTAAATGGTCTGTATAGGGTCAAGTTAACATTATGCACTCCTTGTATTAAGAATGACACGGCGTTTGCTCATTTTTGCGTCGCTATTCAAAGGATGCTGTTAACAACCTCTTTCAAAGAGCGAGCATAATTTGATCGGGGTCGTGTTTCTATGGGAATTCGTTGAATGCACCGACTTTATTCATAAGCATTTAGAAGATTTCAAAAATTGTGTCAGTTAATTTTTATTATTCTTGTAATTTATGTACGTAAGTAGTAAGAAAATGTGAATATGTCATTGATATTGTATTTTTATTTGCTAAAAGAACTCACTAATTAGTAACTTAACTACATAATATTTAAAAATATTTTCTTCTATTTAAATAAATTATTTATGAGCAGAATAGTTTCATAAATCATAACTCTTCAATCTCAAAATATTTATAATAAAACACATGTTTCTTTTGCAAAACGAAGTCAAATAGCAAAAATATGTAAATTTCGAAATGATATAGAGAGACAGACGGTCGACCGGGAGGTGAGGGGGGGTTGCGAGTTGCGAACTGCTATTTCGTTAATCCTGCTATAGGTATTCAAATGAGCTCTCATGATTTATTGAGTGGAACATTAACATTTTTATTATTTGTTATTCTTACACCTTTCGGTGGGGCCGGAAGCCACGCGGCGTCTTGTCTCAGTGTACTCGTCCGTGAGACTGGAGCAACACACACAACCCCCGGCCCCGCCCGTACATCAATGTGCACAAAAACGCCACTACACAAAGATTGCATATTATCATAGTTTACATATAAATTTTACGCGAATTCATTCCGTATTCACTGCGCCACGATATTCGGCGATTATAATGATAATTGCTCCGATACACGAACGTTCAATTTGATGTACGGCCGTGAGAATCGACGATTGATTTTCCGCGATCATTTTCTGACTCCACTTGATTGTTAGGTATCGATTTTTAGAATTAGATTTGCATATTCGATTATCGCTCCATACGTTATTCATACGTTTATATTTTAAATGATTAATTATGCTCAATGCGCGTTTCAAATGATACTTACATACTGAGGTATTTGTATATCTAACACTATTTGTAATAAATTAATGTTTTGCAAAGTCGTATTTCAGATTTAATGAGCAACACCTAACTGCTATATGCTTATATTGGTAAGCAACCGTTAGTTAAATGGTAATGTGTAAACACGCTAGAGCCAATTAACAATACAAGTCAAAGGTAAGCAAACATATATTCAGGACTCACGGCCAGACATCGACAAGTTTGGCGTCTTTGTGCAGGTTGAGGTGCGTGTCCTGTCCGAGCGGCGGCAGCTTGTAATACTCGATGGGCTGGCCCTGGCCGTCGTCCGCCACGGCGCCCAGCACCGCGGACGTGGCGGCGCTCAGCGGGTGCTCCGCGCTGGAGTAGTACGCGCGCCACGACTCACCGCTCACCTCCATCACCTCTTTACGTCTCCTGCAACAACAAAAAATAATATAAAACACCTGTACATTGATATCGAACACGAAATTTGCCGTTAAAGATAACACACTATTTGTCTTCATTCAGGCCGTAGTATAGGTATAGAGTAAATCGAGTAAACATAGCGTAAAATACAGGTATACAAAACCACTGTATTTTACGAATGAGTCGACTACAAATTACGAACCAGTTATTAGGCGTGACCATTTTGGTACGGATACTGACCTTTGATGGTACCCACTGCGGTTATCGCATAATGTGACGCTACGTTTGCTAATTGTTGCGCACACAGAGCGTGACTCAGCATAGCTAGTGTCGGGTGCGAGAGTGAAATGGCTACTATTAGAATGAGCTTCGAAAATAGGCAGGACGTTGTCTAATTCGGATGAGTTTATGCAAGTTCGCCGTAGTACTCATACGTCACGCGGTCGGGTCGCCTGGTGCCGCGCAACCTGATGTAGAACAGGTCTGAACCACTCGCAGAACCGGAAGGATACGAGGCAAATCCCTGCTCCCTCGCTAACCAGTTTAGGTCGTCTGACGTCACGCTCAGCGGTATCCGACGATGCAGACAAATAAATAAAAAATGTTGGAAGCACGCGTCGGACGGGTTTGACCGGATCGTAGTTCTACCTGATTCCTGTTCCTGGTGTGTTAATATATCGTGGCATTTGTTGTGTAAAATGTGACATACTTATGTACGCCCACTTTCCTAAACGCTACCCTCACTACTCTAAATAGACGTTGACGGACGTCACGACGGGTCCTGCTTCCAACCGCAGTTCCACCACAGTCAAAAAATTTTACTACAACTTCAGCTCCTACTTTTTTTAATAATATTCGCCCTCAACTTGGCGAGGTCACTGCCGTGGTCACTGCCGAGGTCACTCTATACATAAACTGCAGCCTGTAGTTAGAATTTTTGACAGCATCAACAGCATCTTGTAAAAATGATTATTCTAAAGAATGTATGAAGTCATTATCGTGCTAGTCCATGATTATCCAATCAATGAGCTAGCCCAGGTTACAGAATGTCGCGTTAGTGCCAAGCAAGAATAGAATGTGCGAATTGGATCAGAGAACTGGAAAAGCCAGCTTCTGGCATTTAACCAGCCGAAGCGTGAGTCATTTGACGAGTTAACTGGCAGGCGGTATCGCAGGGGGCCGGGCGGAGCGGCGCGGCTGCACCACGTGAATGAGATTCCGGTAGGTGCGCACGTAAAAATCGTGCAACGAATCTAACAGGTTTGCTGGGGTCCTTGCGAGGCCACCGGGACTGGTCTAACCTGCCCTGTGCAGCCGAACCTCGAATTTCCGATCGTTTCCTATCACGTTTGCCTCGATTCAATATATGTAAACATACGAGTTTGTTTACATTACAAGTAATGCAGTTGCCCATAATCTGGAAGCATTCGAAACTTAGCGTTATGCAACCACTTTGACAAAGCTACGTTTAACTGGTATCGCTATAAATAATTAATTGATTACTCTTTTCTAGCTGTCAATTGTTCGAGCCATTTAAGTTTCGCAAGTTGCCTACTCCTTGTGTATTTGTTTGGTGTTGAGTAGGTATGCAATGAACAATTCAATGAAGCGATTAGAAAGTATTGCGCACAGCTGTCACGACGACGCAACGTATGCTAGAGCGGAACGGATGACTTCGGCAAAGGGTTGGAGAAGCCTTGGTAACGCAAACAATGCATTCGATACGGATATTGCAAGCACGACGTTTCTGAGACGACTTACAAAATCCGTGGAGGTAAGTACACTTCGACATCTTCTTACAATCTTCTGGGACGTTACCTGGATCGTTTACTCTGTCAATCAGAAAAGTCGAGACTGTATTTCCAAAGACGCGCTTGAATGAAAGCTCGGGTATGAAGTTGTCTCTAAGAATATGAATTTCGTGCTCGGTCGCGTCGGAGACATTGCGGGATGGATTTATCGGAGGTGTACAGCGTATACAGCGAAACGATCAGTCGGCGGCGGCGAGTTTCGAAAGGCGGCGCTCGTCCACGTCCACGTCCGGTGACGCGTCCAACTATCGATCATTCGGTTCGTTAATAAATAACACGTTGGCGTCGCTCGCCGCTTATCTGCTGCTCGGGCATGTGGAAAAATTTGGTGTAGGTGTCGTAACGGAGCGGCACGCATGTCTCGTAGGGTTGCGTGCGCCCGCCTGCCGAGCTTATCCTCTCCGGTTGTTGGCTCTCGCTGCTCGTGGCTTTAATTATCAACCTCTTAATTAAAATCATAAAACCAATATTACAAAACTATTACTTCATAGATTTTCCTGATTAAATGCAACGTAATCTACATATTTGTAGAGGTTTTTAAGTGGTCGACACACATCATTCCAATTTATCCTTTAATAAATGTCGCTACATATTCTTAATCCCCTGCATGCGATGCAAACTTTCACGTAGATCTATTTAACCTGTCTCATGAGCACTAACCTCACGTAGATATATATCCATAAAGGTAGTTGTCGCAGTGCAGATATATTGAATCATGCGTGGCGGACGGAACAAGCCGCGCGGCTTCACCTCGCTCACCCGGCAGGTGCAGTACCTACCTACCTTCAAGGGAAAGTGCAGGGTGCGGCTCAAATCTACGCATGTTTTATCATCGATGATAAGAGAAACTAGTACCTATCGCAACTAACGACTCATTACAAACGCGAACCGAGACGTGATAGAAACTGATGATTGAAACGATTACTTTTCATTAGCCCGTAAATTACATCTTAAGTAGTGCCTTCTCGTATATCATGTATATGAACATGTGTACTGTTTTAATTAAATCTTGCTTCTTGAAAACATTTTTGAAAAGCTTGACTCAGATTAATAATCATGCAGTGTACAAAAATGGTCAACTACTTAGTTAATACCGAAAGTTGGCCAATTAGGATATCAAATTCTTATGTCACACGTAATCCATGTGACTCCTAGTTACATTCAGATTATTCGTAACAGTAGGTACTTTAGGTATTAACATAATGACTTCGGATTACCATAAAGATCCAAACGTCATACTAGTACACTTATAGGGCTGTGTCATTAATAATCCATTTTGTATTCCCACATTAAAGCTAACGATTCGCGGTGGAATGCAACTTCGCTGCATTTTGTCAATTAAAGAATTCGCTGGCTTGGATTGTGGGCAGTGCAGCGCTGGACGCACACTGTTATGGCAGCACAAAAAATGTACATTCTTCATACCAGTATAAATAAATAAGGGATGAGTACAGGGAGCAGTGAGCGCGAACGCAGCCACGCCGAGCAAAACTAAACGAGGAGCATTTTCGACAAACCTCTTTTTGCGGCCTGACGAGGAACGCATATGCGATGATTCATTTACGGAGTTCTTCACCGTACAAGTATGGCCAACATTATTACTTCTGTTTTCTTGGCAGCATTATGTACGGTCAACAAGAAATGTTTTCTCAGAAATATGCGCCCACGCAGATTAAAGATGGAAACGCAACATGGGCACTAAATAAGTCATGTCTCCTGTCTGCGTAACTAGTAGCATTCAAGTCTGAAAATTTAACGTTTCTCTATAATTACGCGCTGAAGCTTACAATTACCGGCCCTAAGTAAGCAACAATAGACTGCGATCTACATAAATGTTTACAATTTAGGAATGTATGAGTTGTCATAAGGAGTGTTTGGATTCATATCTCGATTTAAATCAACGACTACCTGTAAATGAAAGGGGTAGTATTGATGCATTCAATATCTTCCTTTGTTAGGAATACTCTTTATTGGGCAATGTCATAAATACACATTGTATTGTGAAGTTTGTTTCATTGTTTACGTTCTATTCATAGACATAGACCGTTATTTCTTATATCTTTACTAATAACAAGAATACACTTTAATTATAAATATCGTTGACCGTATTTCACACGTCTTTATAGACGTACACGTAGCATTTTAATCAAAATCTGACATTTGGCATGAAATAAAATTAAATTCAGAGCACATATAATTGTTATTCACAATTCTTTTTGAAACCGTTGAGTGACCGTTGAGTGACAACGCTGAGTAGGTTGACGCAGCGGTTGAATGCGACGTTAACTCGCGATTATAAGAAGTGTGCTTTGTATTGTGCGTGCTCGGTCGCGCTGTCGCGCGGTCGCTGCGATACTCGGCGGCCGGCCGCGCGAGCCGTCACAGACATCACGATCAATACACGCTTCATTTACAAAGGAGAATAATTGTTCGAATTGAAAAACTTTTGAGATGACTGCATTATAAACTACGATTTTTGAAGTCCGTTAAAAAATCACAACATATCCAGGTGACCACACTAAGAGCTACTTGGACAAAACTTTTGTATTGTATTTATACATTATACTAGTTTTTACCTAATTAATTCGGTTATATTACGCTCATAAACACTAGGTTTACTACTCTAAATTACAAATATGACCTAGCTAGTAGAATACAAAAAAAAAACAAAATACCTGCACACAGCGTTCATGTAGGAGACAATTTGTGTCATTTAACATTGAGGGGAAGTGCGGAAATAGAGACGGCATTGAAGGTCGCCTGCGCCTGTCTGCGACTCATAAGAATATGTTCGCAATTACTGCACCACTAAACATAACAAAAAGTGAACGAAGCACTTATCATCGATCACTTTAAAACGATTATTAACAACCTTTTAACAATAAATAAAATTCCCTTTAACAAGCGTACGAGGTAAATATTATTATGTTATCTGAGAATTATAAAAAAGCAAATTAAGAATAGTTTCAACCACTAGTGACCACATAAAAATATATCACTAATCTCCTTACCGGTCGAGATGGGACGTATAATGTTTCGGTTTTACTACAAATCAAAATGATATATACAATCGAAGTTGCACGCATTAAGCTCTAGTTAAGCTCGCGTAAAGTGTCTTATTAAAAGAGTTACGAGCTTAGAAAGAAGGAACGCCCGCGGCGCCCGCTCCTCTCTAAACCCAAAATAAATGCCTCGTTTCCG